TTCACATTATTTTGAAATATATATATATATATTAACTAGCCTATTATCCGTACTATATACGGATAATTATAAAAATTGTGATATTTAATTTAATTTAATATTTTAAATAATAAATTTTATTTTGACAATAAATTTTTTTATTAAGATAGTCTAAATTAATTTATATTAAAATAATTTATAAATAAAAAATACAATAATTAAACTAAATAAAGAATAATAAGTAATTGAAATCAAAGTTTCATTGATGTATATTCAATTTAAACTCAAATATAATAGAGATTGAAAAATAATTATTAATAATCACTTTTATATTAAAAATTAAATTAATTTGAAAGAAGTTAGTTCTTATCAATGAGAAACATGAGTAATTATTAATTTATTGTTACGCTGCAGTTAAAAATAATGTTTAAACAATATATTAAATAATATATATAGTAATAAAAAAAAAAGTAAATAAACAATATCAAGTAAGTGAATTATAAATCAAATAAAACTTATATAATATTTTTAATTCAAACATAAGTTAGATTTAAAATATTTATATACAATCTTATTAAATGAAACATTACAATAAATTTTGAAATAAATTCATATCTATCGATAAAAAAACCTCAATCTTTTTAGCGCATTTTATTATAAGTTTAAAAAGAAAGTTTAAACAATATACAAAATATATATACACACTAACAAAAATAAGAATAAATATGACAGAATATTAAGTAATGAAATTAAAAATATTTATTAATAATTCGTTTTAGACTAAAAACAAATTACTTTGTATTCAATATAGTTTCAATTTTTGGAAAAAAAAAAGGTATTAGAATAGTAATATTCTAAACTAAATTAATTATTCCCTCCGTCCCAAAAAGAAGTATTCATTTGTTTTTTTTTATATAGTTTTAAAAATATTAGTATTATATTATGATATAGTAGGAATAAAATAGAAATGACTAAAATAACCTTGCTAGCATGTGTGATATAAAGGTAATGACATTGTGTAATATATTGTAAGTTGTAAGGGTATTTGTAATGTTAGGTAGATAGTACAATTACTAAAAAAAAAAAAATAGATACTTTGTTATGGGACGGGCTAAAATAAAAAAATGGATAGAAATGAGTAAAAAAAAATACATATAGAATAAGAATTGATTAATAAAAAATAAAATTAACAAATAAATAAATAAATAAATAATGCATACTAAATAAGAATGAAATACTAAATAAAAGTAGAATTACTAAAAGTTATCATAATTTAATGTATCGGTTTCTCTAATATTCTTTAAAATAAAAATACTCGAAATTTAAATACAATCTAAAAAGTTAGAGGATAAATATTTTAATATAATATTTCAAACCAAATTAATTAAAAAATACATATTAAATAAGAATGAATTAAAAAATTGATTAATAAAAAATAGAAATAACAAAATATATAATTAAAAAATATATACATGATAAAAATGAAAGTAATAAAATAAAAATAAACTATATATATATATTAAAACTTACTGTAATTTTCTCTATAATTTCTTCAAATATTCTTTGAATTCTAAAGATTATTACTTTAAACATAATCTACAATATTAAAAAATATGATATATAATACAATAATCAAAATTAAATCAATTTAAAAAAATAAATACTCAATAAGAATAAAAAATATTAAAATATTATACTCCGAAGTAAATAAATTAGTAAAATACATACATAATAAGAATGAAAATGAATCGATTACTAGAACATTAAAATTAACTTAATATAGTTATTATACATAATAAAATAAAATATAACAAATAAACAAACAAATAAAATACTATACTTGATCCTTTTTTTTCTTCTTCCTACTTCTGTAAAACAGATTATTAGCAAAAATATTTCGTATAATAAAACTTGAAATTTATAATTCAAATAAAAACAATTACTATAAGAATTTCACTATGTAAGAAAAGATATAAATAATATATAAAATAGATAATAATATTTTTTAATGTGAATTTTTTTTACTTCTTTTGAAGAATAACAAATTATATGTATAAATAAAATACTAAAAAAAATGAAACAATTTTTATATGGAAAACCAAGATAAAAAAATCACACACTTTGTTCTTACCAAAATAGAAAACTCACTATAATCAAATTAAATATAAGCATTTTTAAAAGATACATATAAATTGACTCAATCACCGTTCAATCAACCAACGAAAACTACAAATTTAAAAAAAGAATAAAGATAAAAAGAAAACCTAAAAACCTGTCATGTTCCGCTAATTTTGGATTGAACTATAAATATTCAATAAAAAATCTCACAGTTTGATTGAAAACGCAACGAATTACGAAAACTTTATATTGATCCGATGATTAACGAAACAGTGATCACCGTTTTTTCCTAACCTGCGCATTGTTGGACAAAAATTTCATAATAATTTTTGTTGTGACAATAATCTCTCAAATATATATAGATATACGAAACCCTAATTTTATTCATATTTTTGTTATTTATTATGTCGATAAATGTGGATTTTGTTAGATTAATTGTTATCATAACAAATTTTAACTAATTATTCATACTTATTATATTAAAAAAAATTCAAAATTACTAAAGTGTACGAATTAAAGTGGTTTGTCATATATATATATATATACTAGCCTATTACCTGTGCAATACATGGGTAATTTAGAAATTGTTATATTAATTTAATTTTATATTTTAAATAATAAATTTTATTTTGACAATAAAACTTTGTATGAAGATAAAAAAAAATTAATTTATATAAAAAATAAACTATAAATAAAAATATGGTAACTACAACAAAATAAATAATATTAAGTAAGCGAATCAAAATTTCATAAATATATACTTCAATTTAAACCCAAACATAATAGAGATAAAAAATAATTATTCATAATCACTCTTAAATTATAAGTTGGATTAAAACTATTTATTAACAAAAGACTCGAAATTTGAATATAATTTCAATTTTTTTTTTAAAAAAAAATGTATTAAAATAATAATAATCTAAACCAAATTAATTAAAAAAAATATGCATAGAATAAAAATAAATAAGAATTGATTAGTAAAAAATAAAAATAACAAAAAACAAATAAAAACATGCATACAAAATAAAAATGAAAGTACTAAAATTAAAATATAGTAATTTTATAAATTAGGAAAAAAATATTTTAATATAATATTCAAAACCAAATCAATTAAATAATGCATATTAAATAATAATGAATAAAAAATTAATTAGTAGAAAATAAAAATAACACAATGTAATTAACAAATATATAGATAATAAGAATAAAAGCAATAACTAAAAATATTTATATATATATATATATATTAAAATTTACCATAATCTTCTTTATGGTTTCTATAAATATTCTTTCAAATAAAAAAATTACAAATTTAAACATAATCTAAAATATTGAAAAATATACTATAATATAATAATTGAAATCAAATCAATTAGAAAAACAAATACTCAATGAAAAATATTTTATTAGTAGAAAATAAGAATAATACAATAGATAATTTTAAAAAATCTATATACAATAATAATGGAGTATTAGAATGTAGTGTGTTTGTTTTGGAGATTCTCTCCTAAATACACTATTCAGTACATTTTTTTTCCAAAAATATCAAATCAAACACTTATTTTTTATTTTTTTTATATTATACTAAAAATTAATTTTACATTCAAAACATCACATCAACACCTATTTATATCACATCATACAACAATTCAAATTCAAAATTTTTACTATTCAAATCCCAACTCAAAATCCAAATTCCCAAACAAACACACCCTAAGTAAAATAGTAAATACATATAGAATGAAAAATATTTTATATTAGTAAAATAATAATAACACAATAAATAATTTTAAAAAATACATATATAATAACAATGAAGTATTAGAACATTATAATCAAAACTAAATAAATTTATAAATAAATATAATAAGAATAAAAAAGAATTGATTAGTAAAAAATTAAAATTAATTTAATAATATTATTATACATAATAAAATAAAATAAATAAATAAAAAGACAAAAAAAATATACTATATCTGATTTTTTTTTCTACTTTTCTTTTTCTTCTATTTTTTTCATCTATTCTTTTTTTCTCTTTTTTTTTTGAGATTTTTTTAATAGTATGGATAAAAGAATTGATTACTGAAAATTCTCGTATAATTTAAAATTTATAAGTCAAAGAAAACAAATCTATTATAAAAATTTCATAAGGATACAAAATTATATACATAAATAAAAATAATATATAAAAGAGATAATGATATTTTTTCATATGAAAAATCATTCATTTCCTTTGGACGATAACAAATTATATACGTAAATAAAATACAAAAAAAATAATTACGTGAAAACCTTCCAAGGTTAAAAAAATAAAAAATCATAAGAATTTTTAGAAATACATATAAACGTAATCAATTACCATTAAATCAATCAATAAAAATCATATATTTAAGAAAAATAAAAATGAAAAAAACAAACTTGAAAACTTTTGTCATTCTGGTCGAACATATGTATCAAACGAACTATATGTATCAAACCAATAATCTCAACATTTAAAAAAGTAACGAATTACGAACCCATTTTTAAAATTTCTGATTGATCCGACGGTCAATGAAACGAGATTGCCATTTTTACGAGCCCAATATTGGACAAAAATCTCATAATAATTTTGGTTAGAACAATTTTGGCTTAATCTCTTAAGTATATATAAAAATACAAAACTCTAATTTTATACGTATGTTTATTATTTATTATCTCGATAAATTTGAATTTTATTAAAATAGTTATCCTAACAAATTTAACTAATAATCCAAATTTATTATTTAAAAAATTAAAAAAAATTAAAATAATGAGAATGTACAAATTAAATTGTTTTATACTATATATATAAATATAGGATATATAATTTGATTAGATTGTATTGCAATCAGCTAGTCTGCTCTAAATCCTAACTTGTTATTGTAATGGACGGAAATCTTCCGCCGGAGTTGATAGAAGAAATTCTCTTCCGATTGCCGGCTAAGGCCCTCTTGAGGTTCAAGGCTGTTTCCCAATCATGGCATTCCGTCATCACAAGCGTCTATTTTGCAGCCGCTCATCTTAACCATGAAAAAACTGGTAATGGTTCATACTCCAAGAAGAATCGTTATCTTATTCCCCAAGGATCACACGCTTTCCCTTGGAGACATCACTTAGAGATTGAACTCGATACTGATGGGAATATCTGTGCATGGCCGCTAGTGAACAATGGATTGCGGGGAGTTCCTAAGCTGCTTAATCCTCGGCGTCGGCCGCCTTACGACGTACTGTGCTGTTGCGATGGCCTGTTCGTGACAGGCCTCACCCGTGACAAGAGAAAAATGATGCAAAACCGCTGTGCGATGATTTGGAATCCGTCCACTCAATGTTGTGTGAAATTCCAGTGCCCTAACTTCGTATCTAACATCCACGGACTGGTGCCGGATCCGACGGTGAGCGGTGAGTATAAATTTGTGAAGTGCGACATGAAGAAGTATGCTGTTTACAAGTGCAGGAGCAAGTCATGGTCCGAGATCAAATCGTTGGATGAGTCCATATTCATGCTCAGACGCCAAGTAAATGCTTGCAAGTACCGCTCACGAGGGATCTTTTCAAATGGTAATTTATTCTGGCTTGTGATCAATATAAACATCAGACCCTCTTTCGAAGTAGTTTGCTTCGATGCCAAAGAAGAGAAATTCCAGAGGCTGCCCAACCTGCCGCTGGAGACACCCGTGTCTTGCGATGGTTATCATTGTGCATACTTAGTTCCCTGTGCCGATGGAAACTTTTGCTTGTTCTACAAGACCCGGGCTCTGAATGGTAATGCCATGAGAACCGAAGGTCGGATCTTGATGTTGAAAAGCTCCGGCAACGGGCAGTACTCATGGGCAGATAAGCAAATTCGGGTGCCTTTGGATGCGGAAGCAAACAATGATCATCTAGTATTCCTGCAAGGCGAGATTATGATATTCAGAGGTATACGATCCGGTGCATGGTCTTTGTTTCATTACAACACTAGAGATCGAACCTTCAAGGAAATTCGGAGAGGTGATCCCGTGCTGCTCTCGATGGTTGACTACTCTGCTCCACATTATGACAATCTCTTCTTCCTAGCAGATAAGAAGAAGAAGAAGACGCCGGATGGAGCTTTAGGTTCACAATGAGAGATCATCCATGAGTAAGATCTATAGGGTGTGTTTATTTGTGAGATTTGATTTTTTTGTTTTATTATTCTAGTTTTTTTTCCTCCAAAAACGTTAATTCAATCACCTATTTTTTATTTATTATATTACACTAAAATTAACTTTTACATTCAAAACATTGTATCAAACAACCAAGGTTCACAACGATAGTTGCTTCCATCCTTACAGAATGTAATTCTTTGCTGTTTACTTTTATTGAACTTGTTTTGGTGTTTCAATTGAAGATTTTATCTATCGATTACTGTGGTGTTAACTGTCTAGGCATTTAAAAATATATAGTCATACTCACCTTCACAGTTGTAATATTTAAGTATTTTGTTCGAAAGAATTGCTGAGCTTCAACTTGTAATTCACAATGTCTAAATGTCTGATTGTCATGGCGGTTATCATATGCTAAATACTTGTATGGTGGTTTGAATGACGTGTTATTAGGTGACATGTTAAATATGTTGGTAATTCCTCCTAAGTCAAACAATGTTTATTTGTCATATGCAGCAATCTCGAATTCATTTGGATTTGGCGGGCGCAACTCTGTCGTCGCATTCTCTTCTTTCAAGCCATGACATCCTCCAGAATCTGTGACCTGAGATTAAGTCCTTTTTTGCACCATTCTAATTTCTATCACTGGACATACTTGTTCTCAGGAGTGGTAACTTAGGTCTTAGTTTGATCTTTTGAGGACTGTTGTCTAGTTTTCCATTCATATTTGCGGCTGTTTCGGTGCAGAAAATGCATCAGTTTTGATTGTTTCTTTTGTGAACTTCCAGTCTTTGCGTCCATTTAGTTTTCTCGAGCATTGCCTCTCAGATTTTGCAAAAAGTTCTCCCTCCCCTTCTACATGTCAACACTACTTTCAAGCTATAAACAATAAGACATTATTTGTTACTGGTATTCCTTTCTGCTGTCTTCTTTTCTGTTAATATTATTGAATTCAAATGCTTGGGATTTTCTAATCACTATTTGTAACTGGTTCTTCAAGAATTATGATTACTCACCAAACAGAAATACTTCATGCATGTTGATACTTTTTACCATAGATTTCAGCATTTTTTTTTTTTTTCTCTGGCTTATTGGAATTTAGGTGGGCATATGCAGATTGTCTTGGGACAAAATTGCAGCACTTGTTCCTGTTGTAGTATCTTGTGCTGAAGCTGGTGATCAAATTGCAGATGAGATCTTGCGTAATGGCAGGGGTGGTAATTTTTATCACTACCAAACTACTGTAGCTACCCAATTTTCATTTTAGTATAATGGCAATAAAATATTAGTATAATGCAATACTAACCTGTTCGATGGTCCTTTTTTTCTTCACCTCCAAATTCTAGACAATAAATTCCATTGCTGACATTTGATGAGCATGGAGCAAAATCAATAATAAAAGCCACATAAAATTTGAATCTATGAAAATAAATGTGCGTTGTTCAACAAGTCGCCCATAGGATCAGAACATCGGTTGATTAATGTGAATAAAAGTTGCAGTTATTTCAAGGAACGATCAAATGTAGGTAGGTGTGTTTTCTCTAGTTATAGAAGCACAGTCAAATTCATCTATAATCCATGGAGGTCCAGCAGTAACTAGTAAGCCGGTGGTTCATCGACAATTTAGCCTATAGAATAAACTTTCACTACTTCGGAAGTGTCGCAGATAACTAGATTTTCTGAATCGGAGGGAGTTGTGCAAAGCCAGTTAACCTGAGACATTGAAAGTTCATCATTAACTAAATAAAATGCCATCACTAAAATAAAATGAGTCCAACACCAGAGCAGTGTTACTTACCTTTCTTTTCAGATCAATGCTTGTGCATAAAGGTTGTTTATTGCCACTGTCTGTTTGTCCGACATCATAACCTTTGGACCAATCCCATACCTTTACAGATTTATCATTCCCACCTGAAATGATCAACTTTCCTTTCTCTCCAAACATAGAGAGAGTCCTGTTTTTGATATTTTGGATATGATCAGGTAGATAATGCAAAAATCATACTTTGCAATTTGATCTGGTGGTAATGCTTACACGCAGGATACCGCAGCAATGTGTCCACCCCTTGAATAGTCCAAGTGAAGGTTTCTCATGCTTCCGCCTGAGCTCTCGGAAGATGAAGGTTGACCTTTTTGTGTAGATTTAGCTTTGGATTTGTGAGAAGCAAGTTCTGCCTCGATATTAGTGACATTGACAACACCATCACCTCTAGCCACAATACAGATCTTGCCAACCTTATCCACGATATCAACATCTGGAACTGCTAGGGCATGGACAAAAGCTGGGTTACAGCACTGCCCAGGATTATCTTCATTGCCTGCATGGCCATATTCATATCTCCATGTTAATTATTCTTGTGTTTCATACAATACAAAGTATATTGGCAGGATAATATCAAACTGAAACTATTTAGTAAATCCACATTAAAAGCAATGATAAAAGGAGAATAAAAATGTAAGAATCAATCACCAATGGAGTAAAGCATGATATAAAATTGCTACTTGAATTTCAAAGCAGAATATCAATATAGATGACATGATAACAAAAAAAAAAAACGAGGCACAGAACCAAAATTTTATTTATATCGAAGTTATTGAGTCTTCAGAATTCAACCTCCTACACTTATAGACCTAAAAGGTAATTAAATATTAGTGAAAATAATGGAGCTTTAAAATGTAGACAAATCAAGTTTTATGTTATAGATATTCACACATTTACATTTGACATGATTATCAAAGTAGTTGGCAATCCAATTGGATTATCTTTTACAAAACTTGTAATATGCTTAACACAACTTAGGCTCATAAACAGAAAAGGGCATGTTATGTAAGTGGTTGTTGTGACTCGTGAACCCAAATGCTTACTATAAATCAAACGTAACAGCATAGAGATCATAAATTAAGGCAATACCCAAGTCCATAATTTTGTTTGGTCGCCCTTTGGAGAAGTCCCACATCACAAGTTTTGAATCAAGACCCCCAGTGATAACTGTAAGAAAATGACAGAAAATATTCATAGATATCAAATAGTACGATCCAAGAGCATGACAAAATGCAATAGTACCTTCCCAACTCCTCCAAGGAAGGAATTGTACACTGCTGCAAATCTGAAAAAACAAAGAAGGATGTTCAATATTTAAAATAAATGAGCCATTAAATGATAATGAAATGAATATCAATAGTATACTAAAAGGGAATGGACAATGACCTTTTCTTAGATTTTAAAGTCAACATGCTCAGCATCAACGCCAGGTGATCAGCAACAATGGCAATGAAAACTCGTAAGTTCAAAATAACACCAAATATAATAACCGCATCAAATAAATCCTTGTCAAAGTCATTTACTAGGAAATATGAAAGGATACACTCTTGTGGCCAGCTCTTAAAGTTCTGTATAGGCATCGTTGGCGGACGTCAATAATCTGGAACAAAAGCATAGTCAGCACCCCCACCTAAAAGTGCACATTAATACCAGGACATAGCATGTCGGCAAGAACCTACACTTGTTTGCAAGTCAAAGCTCAACTACTAAGTAGACCACAAACATAAATGTTTTTCATGTACAAAGAACCTAATTTAGAAAGATAAACAAAATATCTCACATACAGAACAATATACAAGCATACACAACCACATAAATTGTTGCTCGGAACAATTTTTTTTCGTTTACGTGACAACCAAAATAAATTTGCACGCGAATTCATTTTCAGACTCAGTTACACAAGTGTAACATTTATGCAAAGATTTCCCAAAATAAAAGAATTAAAATAACTAAATTAAAAAACAAATCTACTTAACTGATGAGCCTTGTGCTTAGGGGCCCCAAAAACATGGAGTCTACCCATCTACTTAAAGCCCAGCCCACAGAACTTGGATCAGTAGAGTTGGTGTAGTAAACTATACCAGGAACATAATTGGCTATATGTTGGCATTTTGTATGATGTTAGCCTTATAAAATCCATATATACCAATGTTGTGTATATCTTGAGTGCACAAATGGTCATTTGTTTGCAGATTACTTTCTAAGCATATAACATTAATAAAATCTACAGAACTGTTAGTCTACCTTCACATCTCCAGTATCATCTGCCGCAGCTAGGAAAGATGATTTTGGATGGAATGCAATCTGCAAAATATTGGAAAGTATAAATATGGCTTGTATAAAATTTGAGGATGTACACCAAAGGAGTAAATTGAATAAGACTATAGTTCAATCTTATGCTTGGATGAGCAATGCTAATGCACTACTGTGGTGCCTGATAGATACTTGCATTCTTTTTTTCTTTTTATTCTTTTTTACCAAATGCATTTGATTCACACAGTGACAATACTTTACCATCAAAACATAGTAGAATATCAAAAAGAAACTACTGTGTAACTGGCTAAAAGAAAAAATGAGAAGTAGATCCCACAAACAGACTACGAAGGCTACTAAGTCAAGTACCATTAACTATACATAGCTGAAGCTGTTATTATTGTTCCAATCTTTAGTTGACTACAATGGGAATACATCTCAAAATCATAGGAAGAAAATGGTTAGAAAAGAAATATGAAAATACTCTGAATGGCATACCTGATTTATCTCATCCTTATTATAGTTGTAGCTTTCTAGTTGCTTCCATGAAGTTGGCTGACTGCTGACCTAGTAAGGCATTACAAGTTTAGTGTTGAAATTGACTAAAATTAGGAATTTCCTCATATTAGCAGCAGCAGCAGCAGAAGAATTTGTGGTTGTGCAAATTATATTAACATCACGGAAGCATGTATGTTCACAAATGTTAAGTAAACATGATACACAAAACATGAATGAAGCCAAAACAGTATTACATAAACACTACACTATGATATGAACTTTGCCAGAGAAGAGAACGGAAAAGAATACATACTTGTGTTTTCTTGTGTTTCCATTTCCATTTTTGCACTATTCATTCTACAGTGCATTTCATTTTTCTTGCATCAAATATCACATCCAACGTTTATTTTATAATCAAAACATTACGTCAACGCCAATTTTCACCTCAAAATTTTCAAAACACAAAACAATGCCAAGCACCTAAACACACCCTTAGAATGTGACCTAATATCAACTGAGTAAAGAATCTAAGGCCACTGTTTTGAAGAGGAACATAATGTGAGTAATCTACACAGAAAGTAAATTGATACACCAAAAAGGGCTTCAATCCTTCAACTTGCAAACACATCATACAAAGGTCGGCAAGAAAATTACAATAAGTAATGAAGTCCTAGTTAAGTCCATAAAATTTGAACAATTTATATGAAAAACCTGGAAAATTGCATCAGCATTACTATGTAAAATGAAAATCATTACCAATTATAAAGCTGATAATATAAAACTAAAAAATAAATATATACCATATCCAAGTCAAAGCTCTTGACTCCGTTGCCAGCTGTGACGTATATAATATCTTCATTTCCTGTACCATGCAATAACAGTATTGATACTAGTTCATAACTATGAGAAATCCTACCATGTAAACGAGGAATCCGAATACCCATCGGTATCATCGCCTCAATATGAGTCACAATCTTTTCACTGAGAAGAGTAAAGAACCACCATACAGAGAAACCAGAAAACAAACCTGGCTTAAAACATAGAGACGAAACCGGGTTTCCATCGCCCGCCACCATACTGAATAACATATCTTTGCACCGCAAATCATACCAGCAGACAAAACCATCCTAATATAGAATTAAAAAAAATAAATACAATAAAATAACTAAAGCAAGAAAAATAATACGCAAATGTCTTTTTTGAGCTGCGGAACAAGAGAAGAACCTCGGCGGCGGTGGCAACAAGACCTGGTCTGGTGCGTGAAGCTATGCAGCAAGTTGCTCCGGCAGTATGCCCTCTCAATCGCCTCGGCTCCGCCATCCCACCTTCGACCCGCGCGCTCTCCTGTTGTCAATATGCTTGTATATTTTTCAGTCCCCCGGTCAGCCCAGACCCGAACGGACCGAACCGGCCCAGTAATGAACCAAGTCCACCATAATATATGCCCTCCTGGGGCAATCTGAGTTTAATGAGATCGGCCCGGCCCGGCCCGGCCCAAAAATTTACGTATCTATATATATATATGTGTGTGTGTGTATTTGGTGTTCCTTCCACATGCGATACCCTCTTATCAGATGCGATTCAATTCCAAATTCTTTTTCCATGAACGCAGCAGCAGCTCCAACAAATCTCTTCTGCACCCTTTCACCAAATGTACACCCAAAATTCCACACGCATCTCTGGAATAGTCCCTGTCTCAGTACCAATTCCAATTCCAATCTGAGATCGCTGCAAGTGTCGTGCCGAGACGGGAAAAAGGAAGAAGAAGTACTGGCAAGGGAGGTGAACCTGGAAATCAAAAAATTGAACACCCAAGCAGAGGAGGCGTTTCAGAGGAGCAGGGAGATGCTGTTCGCGGAGCTCTGCAGCTTCGTCGGGTTGAAATCTGCGGAAATGCGCCGGAAATGGCGGAGGATGAGCGACGAGGAGCGGTGGGGCTTGGCGAGGGGTTTTGTGGCGGAGTGGAGCCTTCATTTGCACCCACTCTCCGCCAGGTCTGTCAAAGAATTGATCAATCAGCACTTGTCCCAATCCCAAAGGACCATCACCAACATTCAACCTTCAAATTCTTCTGGGGGATTTTTCAGCAAGTTTTTGGGGTTTCCACTCCCTGAAAATAATCAAGACTAGATAGATATCTACTGCTTACATCATAGCTGTATTTATTTATTTCTTTCTTTCTGTTAGTCTGGGAAGTTGAAGATGCTAGCTTTGTAAGCTCTATTTTTTTTATGGAGACTAATGGATTATGATTTATGAATCCTCCTTTCTATAGATGAATGTGACCTCTACTATCTTATTATCTATCATCTCAGCTGGTATAACAATTATACAGTTCCAAGATCAGACAGTAAAATGAAGTAGTTAGATTGCATATGGAAGTAGAAAACTGTTTAGAGCTCAACACCCTTTACCAAAGAAGAACCACATATAAAGTGCAGTGCTGATACTCTACATTATTATTATTATTATTTCAGGGATATTAGCTATTTACCGAATGAAAAATTCAAGAGTGGTGAAACAAAGAACCTCTCTCAAATCCATCCTTGCATCGAATATCAGAAGCGAAGTTGCCTGCAATGTGAGAGTGGGAACTCAAGCCTGCAGAAGGGGCACCTTACCATTTCAGATCCAACAGGAATTTGATTGATGTAACCAGTGTATGCAAGGATACACTTTGCGCACCACACATGGTTGCATGGTATCAGCATCGGCTGATTTGCATCAAAACAGGGTTGCAAACAGACTTCGCAACGGAAAATCGAGTGAAACCGATATTCATCACGTACTGGCAATGGATCCTCTAATGGTGGCCCCACCGGACTATTGACTGCTTCTTCATTTCTTACAGGTTCTGGATTGTTAGCTGATTCTAAGAGACAGGGCAGTGCTTCCGCCCCAGCAGTAATGACAGTGGTCAGATGCTCCATTTGAGAATGCTCTGTACATTTACAGAACACCCTCACAAACTCATCAGCCAACTCCTGCAAATTGATTGTATCCACAAGATCACTGTAAGGGGATGCATTTCGCCTTTCGTCCCAGGGGAGGCAATTAGAGAGTATTTGCATTTCATCCTCGGAAACCAGGGGAGAAATGTTAGTTTGGGCATACTGAAGTGCATCTAAACTGTTTCCATTCTCCAACATGTCAATATATTTCATCTTGTGAAGCTTGAGCTCAAGACCAGAGACAGAATCCTTCAGAGAATCCTTGTTTCTCAAGATCCAATTGAGAGCAGGCCCGATATCCCTCAACTCCAAAGCCTTCAGTATATTGTGCTTCTCTTCAACTTCAAGTATCCACTGCAGGGGAACGGCACCAGGTTCGTTGGCTTCTGTCATAAAGCAGTCAGCAACATCAGACATGCCTTCCCAGAAGAAATGTTTGAGGATTATCTGATTTAGAATGGAGGGATCCCAATAAAGCCACCGGTATGCCTTATCCATGTTAGGAACCAGTGTTTCCTCAAGGATCTCTTGGTGGTTGTCGCTACAGGTCTCATGTTCCAGCGGCAATCCTGTTCCACGACGCATGTCCAGAAGCTTGTATTCAAGTTTTTCTAGAACTGAAGTAAGATGCGAAGAAGGTTCAGATTCTTCGATTACTTGTAACTGTGCAATTGTAGTCCAAATTTGCTGGCACATTTGGTCGATCAATTCTAGGGATGTTGCAAACCATGCTACTCGGTTCCTTGTAACCAGCTCCAAAGTTTCTTCAATACGATCCATTTCTATGTCTGTTTTTGAAAGCAATAGAGAGTTATTAATGTACCGTACATAATATCAAGATTTAGCCATGAATTTACGATAGATACAAACAGATAATTTCACATCCCATTCCATGCCATTGATATATTCATACTTTCAGTTATGCAAAGTAAACACGGTGAAAATAACCCTCAATCCCCACAAGATATACAAAATACTCCAAAATTACTTGCGCTATTGGTATAAACCACCAAGAAGCAAATCAAGAAATCATTAATTCTAAATCTAAATACATACCAAACAAGGAGGCGACGGAATGAGCAGGGCATGTGGAAGCACAGCAGCTGAAATGGAGAAGACGGAAGAGGAAGAACTGCGAGACGCGGGATTATCAAACAACTTATCATTCGGTTCGGAACCGCTTCGCCGGTTCTAGAACCTGCGGTTACGGTTCACAACAGGAACCGGACACAAACCAAACGAACCGTCATTCCATTCCGACTGTTCGATTTCGGTTCGTGATTTCGCCAAACCGTGAACAGTCGGTTCAATCTGGCGGTTCAGCCATTAAATATATATACATATTTTTATTTTTTATTATTCAAAATTTCGAAAAACCTCCTTCACCGTTTAGATAAATATTGGTCAATCAAAATCCCTATTTGAATTAGAAGCGTGGGATCTCGAAACTTTATTATTAATAATAATAATTTTTTTATTAATTCTTGAATTGATGCTCGTAGGGCTGTACTCCTGTAACATACTTTCTATTTTCAATATTTAATTTCTTATTTAAATTTAAATAAAAGAATAAGTCAAAACCAATTTAAGACGCCCTACAGCCCCTACCCAATCAATTAAGTAAAAGAAATTTAATGGCAATGTCCACAAAGAATAAAAGAATCAAACCCCGATCTGGCTGTGTCATCACTATATACAAAATGAATCAAACCCCACTCTGACAGGAAAAAGATAACAAGATCATTACAATTATTTAATTTAAGAACGAACGAAAAGGACAAGAAACCTGACTGTATACACAAATTGCAGTGCTGATTAACTACCATGGCGGGTGTTGTCATCTAACAACAGAAGCAACAGTATGAGCCCACCATTTCAGACTATCTTTCATATCAATCTCACTGTTCAATTCAGGGACTCTCCATTTCATCAATGGAGGAGGAGGAGGAATAGGAAGATGGAAATTATCTTGTTGCCATGCTTCTGACAGATACGGCCTAGGAAGTTTCTTCTCTTCTTCGCCGCAATTAGGTCTTCCCAATCGTTGCAGGCCAGGAATTATCTCCACCAGATTTGGATCATCCCTGTCCTTCTCGGAAAACACAAATCCTAGATCCATAAACCCCTTCAACTCCTCAAACTCCAATTCCGACATGCTCTTGCTCGAGGCTTTATTCCTATACTTGTTCGTGCTCTGCTTCTTCAACCTAGGGGTTTTCGGAAGGAATTCTTTCTGCGAGAGTATGGTTTGGAGGCAGGGTTCGATCGTCAGAGAATCTGGAGAGGTGAAATCGGTGCTGTTGTCGGACGACAGCGACAGAATATCCACACTTTTCGATCTGGTGCGGACTCTCCTCAACTGTGGAAATGAATTTTCTTCAGGTAAGGGGGAATAGGACGAGGTTTGCGATTGGTGTTTGAGGATTTCGGGAGAGAACCAGAGAGAATCGAAGAGAGCTAGAACAGCTTCGGGCTCCATCAATGGCGGCGCGGGAGAAGCTTTGAGAACTCTGACCTAAGGTTTAATTTGGGGGAAAATTTAAGAGGAAGAAGCGCTTATATAGTTGCTGAAAAAGCGCGCTTTTATGTTTTTAACCTTTCACGTGACTACTGCATGGAAAAGTAAAAAAGAGAAAAACGTGTTTTTGGAGACACGTTTTTGCTATGACTCTGTGATAGTTTCTCTCGTGAACGAAAAGTGAATGACGACGGATGTGCTATGTTGACTCTACGCTACGAATGTTCAACGTGGATTTAAAAGAACTAAAAAACATATATCCATGCAAAATATTTAAAATTGATTATTTAATTTGATGTTATTTTAAAAAAATATATTGTTAATATAAAATTCTCAAAAATATAAACAGAGCCTATTGTTTATTGTTTAAGAGAAGTTGTGACTTATGAAATTTCTTATATATACATACTGTGTTCTTTGTGTTGTATCACTTGTATGTAGTAGAACATAATTATTTATTTATTCCTAAAATTTTATTTTTATCTTCAAAACTATTAAGACAAACTCACAATAAAGCTTTTTGGCGAAAAAGGTCTATTTGGTTATTGGTTTTGTAATTGAAAATTAATTTAAATGAGATGTATTTAATTACTACTAGTTAATTTAGTGAAATATATATGTGATTAAAACAAGTATAGATGTTATTTTATAAAAAAATAAAATTTTATATAATATAAATAAATAATACTTCCTCCATTGTGTTCAAATATTTGGGCTGCAATTTTAATAAAAATGAATAAATAATTACTTACACACCTTAAAGAAATTACTATAAATAATTTATTCCTCTTACAAAATTACTACCTTTCTTATTTAATCTATTAGAAGTAAAATTATTAATTGATCTTATAATAAAAAAACTCACAAATTATAATCTCATAGCCTAAGGCCATAGGATTCATGGGAATATATATATATTGTATGTGTGAGTTTGACCAGGTAATGTCGAATTCAATGGTTGACAAATAGAACGAATTTTAAATTAGGGCTGCTCGTGCATGTATGCATTAGTTTATTGCTCCTCTTAGGCTATCGACTCCAAGCCTTATTTTCTTTATATTTAAATTCATTATTAACAGCACGTGGGAACAAAATATACATGTTCAGGATTTGACTTTGACTCATGCTTTAATTAACATGTTTTTTTTTTTTTTTTTTTTTTTTTTTTTAATACCATGTAAGTTAGATCTGTGTGATAGATGGATCAGGTCATCCCTTATGGAACCCATGTGTTTTTTACCATACAATTGATAGAGGTAAAAGAGTAATAACTAAGATAAAGAAAAAGAGTTGGGACTTGTGGAAAGGTTAAGTGCTATTGCAATTGGGACGAGGGATTTGCCAAATGCAGCAATGGATGTGTTTGATATTTATTTTTAATTTGAAATGCTTTTTACAATTACTACAATTATGTGTGAAAATAATAATGTTGCCGCAACCATAGCCAAAGTTATGGTAAAGTTTTATATTTGTATAGTGATTATCTTAAAATAAATAATGGGCACTCCAAAAAGGTTAGTACGTTTGCACGGGCACGTAATAAAAGTGGTACAGTGTGAATTTTCGTGACAAGTCCAATGTACAAATATTTATTTGAACAGGTTTTGATTTATAAAAAAAAAATAATAATAATAATTGGGAATGCAAGTTTACAATAGATACTCAAAATTAAACCAAATGTATAAAACCTGCATATTAGAAAAGACAACTTTAGCAATAACGAAAGCTATAGCTTACCAGAAATCATAAGCTAACAATTTGATCAAATTCAAACAAAATTTAGCTAATAAATGCTTAATCATAAGTAAGAAACAATTACCTCATGAACTTGCCACGAAGCTGATCGATGATCAATGCAACACCTTTAAAAAAAAACAGAGAATCGAGAGCGATCAGTATGGTCGAATTACGGGGCAAATCTCCTTTGGCAGTGAGCTCAAGAACACCATTCATGCAACATCAACAATACAATGGCTTTCTGCCAAAGGAGTAATTGCCCGGTAATATACCTCCATACAACTAGGATATATCGAATTTGATCTCCGGCTATGATGAATTATTTTCAGAACATAGCTGTATTTATAGCCAACTACAAATGCTGCATATTGCTACTGCAAGGATATTTGAAGCATATTCTAATGTACAGACACTTCACTTAACTCACAGGAATAAACTCTCCGGTTTGTTTCACATTATTTAAGAATATGTGCGAGTGTGGGATTCAGTTACGTGCATGTGAGGGTTCGACTCAAGCATTATACCAAAAGAGTGAAAGTTTTCGAGTACATTATTGAACTTTAATGCAGTAGTGAAGTGAGAAGAACAATAGATCTAGAAATTTATAATGTGAGGTTTATGTAGGGAATTCTGCAGATAATTAACAAAGAGGTCCTTCCCATGGCTAAGAAACTCACTCAAAAGTTTGATGGTGCTTAAAATTTCTTTGTGGAAAGCAACTAACTCCTACAAAGAAAGATGATTTAGTCAGTATTGTCAGCACAGCTACTAAGGATAAAAAAAAACATATAAGCAAAGAGGAATCTTGAAACCTATTCCTGTGGAAGCAAATCAAGGATCACATTCCTTAGGACGGGACAAGGCAAACAAATGATATTTCAATTTCTTCGCACGCAAAAGAGCATATCCATAGAATAAACAAATAAAGAGGAAGATCGGAGTGAAGGTCAGAACTCTTTGTACCATGGTCCCAGTAAAAAAGTAAGGAGGAAAAACCTAGAAGAATAGTCCCACAGCATATGCCATCTCCTCCTCCAGCATATCCAATTGACAGTACACAGGAGGGGGTGCCTATATAAAGCTTGGTTTCATGGCGGTTTTAGGGCGTGACTCCTTACTAACATCACATGCACAGCCTTATTTGAGGGAGATAGTTACTTATGTCGGGAAGGTAATAACAGGGCGATTCTCCTTTGGCAGTCGGACAATGCACATGTATGCGTTAATGCATGCTTGCATTCTTTCCTTTCTTCTGCCAAAGGAGAATTGCCCTGCCATTCGATCCCACAATGCTGCAAATACTTCAGCTTCTATATGACATCCATCTTCTTCTTCGCCCAGTTTACTAAGTTCTTGTATGTCCAAGACTCCAAGTACAGGTTTTTATGCACTAAAAGTATTCTCACTATCCTTGATTGATTGTTAATCATAATCTGTTGCATACTCAATGATATAGATTCTTTCGGATTATCTACAGCAGCTAATTATTTTTTCCCTTGCTTATGACAGAGCAAAGAAATGTTAAGGATCAAGTATTGGCTGAGTTCATGAACTTCTTCAGTATATATATATATATATATACACATATTTCCATCATAAATGTATGTATTTCTGAAACAGATAGTAAGAAAACTCTATTACAGTTTCCTCCCAATATCTTTATAACATGATTTATTAGTGACTAGCATGAATCACTTTCCTAGAAAAGCCCCTTTCTAAAGCGTATTCTCTATCCCTTTGCTGGGACTTTAACCTATCAATTTATAAATTGAAAAGGTACTCAAGAGATATGTTGGATTTCACAAAGGAGGGCATGCAGATGCTATTAATAACTTTGGCTGTTTCATGCCTTTGGAAATATTGTTGGAAAACTTCAATAAATCTAATCTCTACTCTCTGGAGATTATGCAGTTTAACAAGGACCTAAAACTTACAGGGGTTGGGGGCCTGTGAAATTCATTAACATACATGATTCTCATCTAATGCCAGGAAAGGCAATACCATGAATAGAAAATTGTGAAGCTTAAAAATTATATCTTAAATGGAAATTAGTTAAAGCCAAATGATAAAGTAAATTTACAGGCTAAATATAATGCATTGACTTAGAATGAGTTGGACTAACCATGCTTAAAATATTTTATTTTTACATACGTTTTTGAGGTCCCTGCTTCTCAAATCCTGGCACCAATGGCAAGATCACTAATGTCATGATGATGAGAATTTTGTAACAAAGGGAATGTTTCTCAAAAGGAAAGAAGAATATTCAAATTCCACAAAAACTCGAGACCAAGACCAACAGAAAATGTAAAGGTTACGTTTTAGTGTAATACAAACTTAAAATCACTCCAAGCTTCTATATGAGATTCATTCACAACAGTTCAGTGATCGAAGCAAGACATGTAGGCTAAAGGAGATTGCCAATAATTTATACCATATAAGCGAGAAGAAGTTGTTAAAATGTGTGGTTCGGAGACGTGGATTCGTAATTATGAAACTAACAAAAACAATTTCACCTCTCTCTGCAGTTAATCTTAAAAGTAGATGCCTTACTAGAAGAGTGGAATCGTATTCAGGTAAAAGCATAAGGATAAGACCAGTGAATAATTCTTATCCTTATATCTAAAAAACCAAATGAACTCTTAAACACGAATCATGAAGCTTGGAATGTTTAAGCTACCCAACCTTTCTGATATGATACCATCGAGTGTGCATTTGGTTTTGGGTGCATTTGTCTACTTTGGGTATGTTGAAGAGGCAACAAACAATCTCATGATTATGAAATTATTCCGTCTCCCAGTGAATAATCTTGAAAAGGTAGCCTGGATTCCAAATGTATGGTCCTTCCTTTGTAAACCTGTCACATATCAAGTGAAGTCTGTGAGGTATGGGAACTCATAGGATCAACAGGTGGATGCATTTGAGCCGAAAGCCGTGATACTGGACGGATGAAAGACGATCAAATCGGGCATAAACGAATTACAATTTAAAGATGATCAAACAAAAATCACAGTGCATTCCATTTACACTTGGCTATGATAAGTTCTAGATTGGCATAGAATTATTGGTTAGCAAAGTAGACCATCATGCATTATTTCAAATTGCTCTTCAAAAATGTTGATTGTAGAAGCATGGTAGATATAGAATATGTCAATGCATCAAATCATCCATAATAAGCTCATGATATGATTATCACCGGCACAAGAAGTGATCTAGATTTCTAGAAACATGAACACTGAACTAACATCGCATCAAACTGTGAGCATTCATAAGCTTGATAACGATAGCAATCTTTTCAGGAAACAATATCATATACCTTTCTATCACAATGGCATCTGTGGCATTGTTATGCTGGTTGATGCGCCAAGAAATCGGGCGTTACCTTAATGACACATCAGAAAATAGAACTGTAAGGGGGACCATGAATGCAACAACAAAAGAGAAAAGAAATGCAGAAGCATTGTTCCATGGCATATGCCATTGAATTCCCAGAGAATATCCACATGCTATGAGAATGGTTGAAATTAAAAAAACCCTGCAATGGAGCTAAATAGAGGCAGAGAAATGAAGCGAATTGCAGCAGAAGTGGAGAGGAATAACAGGGTAGGTCTCCAATGGCAGAAAATATTACCACCAATGAAAATTACTTCCATTGTCTCTGCCGAAGGAGAATTGCCCTGCCATTCTTCAAGCTCAATTTTAGATATCAATTTGCCTTCCACCCCCAATTCCCAAATTCAAAACCTCGTCATCATTCAAACAAGAAATCAACGAATAGCCCTAATTTGATTCCAACAAACTGTGGGCCGTTAGCCCAATTCAGGTTGGATCCGAATCCGACCCCATTACAGCACACAAACACTGTGCTGTTAGAATAGTTAAGGGCAGACATGTGAGCATCAAAGCTAAGATTCTAAAGACGAACAAAAGCTTCAAAAGGGCCGTCAATGCACAGACAAAACAAGACCATGTACGCATTACAAGCTCAGTGGAGAGGAATTGAGGATCCCGTGAGGGAGAGAGACGCAGACATGTCAAGAATGTGCAGACAAAGAAAAGGGATGGGGTGGGAGAGGAGAGATAGAGCTGCTGCTGCTGCTGAGCTGCTCCCAACATTCAAATATCGAAAAAAGGGCAGACAGAAAGCGACCTAAAAAACCCTCATTAAAAATGAAACCCTTGCACACAGCAACACACGCTACGCAACAAAAGAGCTTTGCAAGATTGATTGATTTGAGGTTGTCTGCTACTGCCAAGGAATTCCCACTTCTCTTTTCCCCATTTTGCCTCTCCATTGATAGATTAAGATATTCCATATGCATGGCATGCCTTCACTGCAAAATTTGATCAAGAAATGAAAAACAAAACACAGAAATGATTTAGGAGTCTGTGTCGCATGACTCTAAATCCAAACAAGTACACTTCTCGGATGCCTCCCTTTTCCATTCCTTTCCAAGAACAATGCCAAAGCTCTTTCATCATTCATCAGTCATCATTTCAGTTTTATAGATACAGATACATACATACATTCACATTCTTGAGCCCTCTTAAATTCAATAGGGTATCCATCCATACCTCTAGATATCTATAGACTTATAGATATATGGGCTATCATATCAAATCATATCATTCCTTTACGTAGCTTTAACCTTTCTTGGAGCGTATATAATAATATCAATTTATTGGCACAATTGTATTATTGGAATATCCAAGTGCACTAGGGCCTGCCTATCCATCAATTATGTGTCAATTATTTGGCAGAAAAAGCATCCTATGCATCCAAGAAAGAATTCCCTTTTCTTTGAAAGTTGTTATATAGATTAGTACACTACACATTCTGCATTCTTAATACTCATGGATTAGTCACAATCATTTCACATTGCATAGTGATTAGAGTTGTAAAGAAAGTAATCAATCAGTCAAGTACTACGTTTCTGCATCTTTTTTACACCATGCCTTGGTTGTACACTAATTATTGGTTTGCTTTCGATATTTATTGCTCTTATGTATGTATGTATGTATGTATGTATGCATTGTCAGAAAGAGACAAAAGAGCTTTGTGTCAGTCATATCTAGACATTCCGTGACTCTCCAATGGACCAAGGTTTAGTAATCACCATTGAATTCTAGTAGTATTATATTGTTCCTCTCACCCTTCTTGCTTGATTCGCCCCTATAAAAGGACTAACTTGAAATCATTCCCCACTCGCACACACAGTGTTGAAACTAGAGATAGAGAGTATGGCGTGTAATAAAATGCACAGGAGATTCTCTCTGCACAGAAAGCTTCAAATTCTCAGAACCCTCACCAAATCCAAATCAGTATGCATTTTAGTTTCTCACCTACAGTCCCTCTTACTTCTTTATGTACTCTTACCATATCTTTGATGTGTTTGTGTGTGTGTCTCTCTCGATATATGTATGTATGTATAGGTGAAGAAGAGCTCAGTGGTGATGGATGCTTGTCTGTACATCCATAAGCTAAAGCTCCAAATAGAAGCAATCAGGAAAGAGTGCCAACACTTGATCAACCATGTCCAAGTACACACACACACTCATTAATTGCATATATATATATATATATATCTATTTTAATTTATCTTGTGATTGCAGCATCATTATTGATATTATTCTGCACTTGTAGGAAGTGCAGGTGGAGAAGATAGAGGAAGGATGTTTATCAGTGAGGGTGAGTTGCAAGAATGGCAATAATGGCCAAGAGCTGCTGCCGTCGATTCTCGAAGCTTTTGAAGAGATGGAGGCGGAGGTCGTTGAAGCCAGAATCACCACCGCCGCCAGCAAACACTGCTTGTTTGGAATGGAGGCCATTGTCCGAACCGCCATTGATGCAGATCTCTTCAATCACACACTTCAAATGATTGTCCGAAGACAGACACTTGACTCTGATTCCATTTAATGAAATATTTATATAATTATTTTTTAGTGTTCATACTATCCCACTTCTTTTCTTTTCTATCTTAGTTAATTCTTGAAAATTAATCTTATAGTTAGATCGATGGCTGTAATTTTTAATCTTTTAATACCAAAGTTTATATGATTTAGGAATGTAATGCTATTGTAAGGGCACATCTTTAAAAGTCCGATCTTAGTAGTTCATTATTATAAAAATAAAAAATAATAAATAATAAATAAATTAAATTAAATTAAATGATGAAAATTTTTCTTTTTACTAAATAATAATTATTTTTATTAATATATTTCTTAATTGTTTACTAATTATACTTTACTTAAATTATCTTATCTACCGTAATAGACCCATATTACATAGGACACATAGTTTAGAATATTTTAATGTGTATTTACATAAATATAAATAATAGAAAAGCAAATAAGACAAAATATGAGTTGAGTTACAAATAATTGGGCTTGTAAAAAAAACAGAGCCCAACTTTCATGTGAATGGAATATATTTGGTGACGATGTGAACTTTTTTAAAAATGCAATAATTGTTAATTTAAAATTGAAATGTTGAGGAAGATTCGTGTTAGTAAGTAAATGCTGTAGTGGGGAAGAACTTACCAATAGAAAAATACCCTTTCAATCATTAAATTAATGGTCACGATCGTATCCCTCTGCACACTTAATTAATTCACATATATATATATAAATATTAAATAATTAATATCCATATATATTTATACATATTACTATTATTTCGAGCAGCTAAAATAAAAATTCACAGACTTGACTTTAATTACGTGACTTATGCACTAAGGGATCAAAATTTAAAATTGATTATAACTCAATTAAAGGTGCCGTATATTAGCAAACCCAATAAGGATGGTGCTTGATGGATTCTCCACCGTACGATTTCATCATATTAACCATTCAATCTGTAAACTCGTTGCACACCACCTCTGCACTGCACGTGCTGTATTTTTATTATTTCCCCTCTTAATTTAGGGTTTTGAATTTTTTAAATAAAAATGTAAGATAGTGCTTTAAAAACTATTTTATATAGCAGAAAATTAAAATTTTAAAATTTAACAAATATAAGGTGTATTTATATTTTTATAGGTTTTTTTTTTCTAAGTTTTGGATTTTAAAATTCCTATTTAAATAAAGTTATAATATTTGGAAGAGCTTGATAAATAATATTCTTACATTCTCCGTTTATACAAAAATTTGAGTTTTTGAAAAATTGTGAAAATAATACAAATTTAAATATTTTATATAAAAAATTATGTATTAAATGCGATATTTAAAAGAAAAAATTATACTCCCTCCGTCCAATAACAAAGTATCCATTTTTCCATTTTAGTCTCTCATGTAACAAAGTATCCATTTCTTTTTTTAGTAACTGTACTATCTACTTAACATTATAAATACCCTTACAACTTACAATATATTACACAAATGTCATTACATTTTATATCACATATATTAATAAAGTTATTTTAGTCGTTTCTATTTTATTCTTACTATATCTCAATATAATACTAATATTTCTAAAATTACGTGAAAAAAGCAAATGGATATTTAGTTTCGAGACGGAGGGGTATATATATATATATATATATAGTGTCAATACTTTTAATATGTAAATTTAAATTGATCCATAATTAATTAGAGGATTGCATAATTTGGATATTTTAATTTAAATGTAACAACACGAAATTTATTTTATTGTTATTAATAATTAATACCATCATTTGATTCGTGCGACCTACCACATCTTAGTATAACATTTTTCTATTACATAATTTATTTATTTATTTTCATTTATATGTTTGAATTATACACATCTATATTGATTCTTTTTCGTTAAAAAAACTAAAATATTTTTTTTCGAATTTATTATTTAAAATATTTAATGAATAAGTTGCCAGAGTCTATTCTATTCTATTCTATCCAACCCTATCTTATCCGGTGTATTAATTATGGTAGTTAAATATTTTTTAAGAATTCAATATTTGACTTGATTAATTGGGGTTAAATTAATTAGGAAGTAAGTAGAATTGTAATAATGTAAACACATAGGTATAAGTAGTGACGTGATCATGCATTTGGACAAGGAACCCATAGCCTATTTGCCTACTTCTTTCTTATACTTTTAATTAATTTATTCAATAATTAGGAAAAGTGTGTTCTTTTGTGTTATATACCATCTTCGTTTTGTATATATATATATTTTTTAAAAAATAATAATTTGATATGATTTTTAATAAGACTAATAAATATTGAATATAATATCTTTTAAAATAATTATAAAAATAAAAATACAAGAGCGCACAAATTTACCGTGAAAATTACATTGCATGGCAACGTGAATAGAGAATATTTTCAATTAAAATCATAAAATTATATAGGATATCTTTTCTTTGATTTTTTTTTTAAATTTTTTATCGAAGATTATTTTAATATAATATTCTATAAAATTGTATGATATATTTTTCATATAAAATCTGATAATTGAATAATAATAATAATAATGTAAAGAAAGACAAAGCCCTAAACTTTTGATAAAAAGTAGTTATATACATTGAGTGAATCAAGTAAGAAAATAAAATTAAAGTCATACTTGTTTGGATTGAGATTTCCAAATTAAATAATATAAATTCGAGTCAAAATAAATTTTGATTTGATGTAAAAAAATTATATAATATTTTTTTTAAAAAAAATCACTATTTCATTTGACAGTTTAAAAAGGAGTGATAAACAACATACAATTTCATACAAATCATTAAACAAACCATCATATGTTTTGATAATATTTATGAAAATAGTGGATTTATTCAGCTCTTTGTAAATGAAAGTCCAATATATATATATATATATATATATTAATTAAAAAGTAATGAATATTATATAACTAGAATCGATTAATAAGTTGAATTGAGCTTATATTTCAATTTAATTAAAGTAAACATATACATTAATTTAATATATTAATTAAATTGATTTTAAACAGCAAAGGGGCCTTATGTATAAGTAACCTATGCCATCTAGAAAGCATATGCATAGCAACGAGTCCAGAAAAGAGCCACAGCCACATAGATAATTAAGAATAATCAATTAATAATTAGTACAAATTGCAAAATTCTTATATATGAATAATAGTAATACCACTTAGAATATAATTAAAATATTAAATTACACACATACATAACTATAGGGCTGATTATTGAAAATGTCAAAATGTATAGGTGAAGGTGACATACAAGTACATGATTAGAGGGTGATTAAGGCAGTAGATGAAAGGAATCAAATTAAATTAAATTAAATTAAATTAAATGTAATAATTTGTGTCCCTTTCCCGTTGTAATAAAATAATTAATCTCTTGTTTGGATTTCTTCCGCATTTGCTTGCACGTCCCCTCTCTCTCTCTCTCTCTCTCTCTCTCTCTCTCTCTAAATTATTTAATTAAATTACATATATAATTATATATATTTAATTTCCAATTAATCAATAAATCTGTCGCCATTCCCATTCTTATTATAAGCACTCCACCACTCTTCCTCCATTTCTTGTCTTGTCTTCTTCCTCCATCTCCATCTCCATCTCAACCCATGGGAGCTAGATTCAACACCGCCGGCGATCACGACTCCCACAATTCGCCGGAGAACAGCTCCGTCGCCGGCGGCGGTGGAGACTCGCCGCACTTCGCAGCCGCCGATGTCAAAATTGCTTCCACTTCCTCTTCCAGAAGAAGGTATTGCGCCTTTTTCAAAATCAAAATTTCATTTAATTAAAAAGAGGGCTAAATCAGAAATTAGGGTTTCGTCAATTTGGGGATTTCATTTCATGCCCATGTATCCATGCACCAAAATCAAATTCTCAATCAATTTCAATTACTACCATAAAATCAAATTAATCAAGAAATTATACATACATATATTAATTTGCAGCAGACGAGCCCTACAGAAAAGGGTAGTGTCAGTACCTCTGAAAGACGTCGAAGGATTGCGTCTGAAAGGCGATCCGATGAGCGCTCCGCCGTCCGATTCCTGGGCATGGAGAAAGTACGGCCAGAAACCCATCAAGGGTTCTCCCTATCCGAGGTACCCATCCATCCATTCAATTAATAATTAATTTAATTTATTACACCGCAATCCTTAAAAAAAAAATAAAAAATTCAAGCTTGAATCAACATCTATGGCGTTCTTTTGTTTCTGCAGAGGTTATTACAGGTGCAGCAGCTCCAAGGGGTGCCCAGCAAGAAAGCAGGTCGAAAGGAGTAGAGACGACCCCACAATGCTCGTAGTCACATACTCTTGCGACCACAACCACCCTTGGCCGGCGTCCCGGAACAACCACCACAGAACCGCCATCTCCGCCGCCGCAGCTCCAAACGTCGCCGTATCGGAGGAGGAAGAAGATGAAGAGGAGGAGGAGGAAGACGAAGCAAACCAGGCGGAGGAGCAATTACAAGAAGAGAAGAAATTACCTTCAGCAGCCATTAATAGTAACAATAATCAATCTAATCACGAACCAAATCCAGATTACAAATTCATGGATGCTCCGAACGAATTCGGATGGTTCGGAGATTTCGAATCCCCAGGTTGTACTATGCTCGACAGCCCCATTTCCGCCGAGGACAAAACCGCCACGGACAACGAAATGGCGATGATTTTCGCAATGCCGGAAGAAGACGAGTCGCTATTCGCCGATCTCGGGGAGCTGCCGGAGTGCTCGACGGTGTTCCGCCGTGGACTCGCCGGACCGGAGCCGACCTTGGCCGCCGGCATTCGATGATTCAGAGAACGGATGGATCTTCATCATCGTCCATCGGACGGCTCTGATTGAACGGATTCCGCGACATTAATGTCATCGTACGGACAAGATTGCCTAGGAGGGAAAAAAAAGGTTTACACATTTTTATTAATTTCTTGTGATTTTAATTATATTTTTAATGCTATGATGAGTGTAGTGGTTAGCGAATAATTGATTAATTAAGAAGTTTTATGTCACAATGCTGTTTGTAATTATTAGACCACATAATTAATCACCCTTGTTATTTCAGATAAATTCAATTCATTTCTATTTTCTGTCTTCATTAATTAATAAAATATATATATATATATTTTTTCTTTTTTATTTAGTTACCCACGGCAACCTATATCCAAGTTGGTTATAAATTTCTATAATTTTTTCCTCCTTTTTTTCCCCTTAAGGAACAGGCAACAGATTTAGGAATCTGAAAAGTCAAAATTAACCAAAAAGTTGACTTTTGAGTGTCAATAGTTGGATCTAATTTATTTCTTTTTTAATTGTACAATATGTATATATCCAGTTGGTGGTTGCACATGGGTTTCATAGAATGGTCTAAAAATGAAAATTGTTTAGGTTATATATATATATATATTCTTTTAATAAAATATTACGTGAAATACTTCATTTTTATTATTTCTATTTTTTTTTCTAAAATTTGAAAACTTTGAGAATCTTTATCAAAAACAATTTAGGTTTTGTTTACACTAATAAATTTTGACAAAAAAATATTACATCAAGTTTTTCTATTACAAACAATTATATTAAATAGTTAAAATTTTATATTAAAAAAAGGCCTTAATTTCAGAACAAAGTCCAATAAATAATATATATACAGAAAAAAGTGTTAGGTAAGAGATGTGTTGTAATTGGTGGGCTGATATTTTTAATATTGTATATTTAAAAGATGGTAATAAGAAGAATAGCTATTTATATTTATTTTTGAAATAAAAAGGGGTCCCCACACGCGTGACACGTGCATTTGATCTCTCCTTAATAACGTCATTTCGCTAAGATAATTTCTTAATTATTCGTAACGTCCACCTTAATCTTATCCGTTGGAGCATTGGGCGCATCGATAAACCCTGCAAATTTCCTCGTTTTAATTTTCGGAGAAAATAATAAAATATTTTTTAAAAAGTGGATTTTTGAACAGATCTGGAGAATCTTCCAATCATTGTTCATTTTTCTTGTTCGAATGCTTAAGTTTCGATGCTTTGAGAGATATTTAATTAATTTATTTCAGCTTCGTCCGCTTATAAAAAGTGATAAGAGCTTCAGACATTTTTATTTTAGTTAATTAATTTATCTAATTGATCTACATGTATATAATTATATCTAATTGTAGTTAATTTAATTGATCTATAGATATCTAATTTTATCTGTTTGTAGTTAATTTATTTGATCTGTAGTGTACTATTTTTAGTTTGTTTTAGAAATCAATATAGTAATTTGCTAAACAAATAAGATTATATGGTAAAAAATTAAAATCAAACCCTAAAATAATAGTTAATTCTAATGTAAATTTACCAGCAAAATTCATATATCAAAATTCAATCATAAATATAAATTGTAATTCTTTTTACATACGTTTTCCAACATAGTAAATGACATATTTGACTATTCATTACATTTACAAAGCACACATTATTTTATTAGATTTATCTCTAAATATTTCTTTGTTATTATATATTTTGATTTAGTCAAAATTAATTTAAAAATATTTTGCTAGAAAAAATAAATAATTTTTTGTCAACTCACAAAGTATATTTATTAATATTTTTAATTGTCCAATTACATAATTATTTAAAAAAAATATTTACAATTTTTTTCGCAAATATATTTACTTTATGATCATATTATTGCTTTTATATATATATATATATGTATATATAAAAAAAATTAAAAATCATTTTTCTTTAGTGCCAGCTTGGAGAGCCGGCTGCTTCTGCAGCAACTCCATAAAACTCTGACATAAGTGTATTGTTGTCATGTGTTCCAATTAAATATTTTTATTATATAAATATTTATTAATAATTTTTATATTTTATAAAATTTTATTCTTTACAAAATGATATTAATATTGATATAATTTTTTAAATAAAATTTTAATTAAATATAATCAATTAATAATAATAATAATAAATATTTTTTATTGTTTATAAATTTAATTATTAAATAAATAAATACTAATAAATATGTATATTAGATAAAAAAAAATATTATTATTTAAATTATTTTAAAAATAGATAATTTAATAATATGGAGGAAAGAAAAATTAAAATTTGTGTAAATGAGTTTCTTTGATGAAGGTATAAAATGAAATGATTTTCTCTGATGACGTGGCAGAGAATATGACGTGAAAGAGAAGAGAGAGGGAAGAAACCCATATTGAGTTTCATTGAGGCGGATGACCTAACTATTTATTATAATTAAAGTACTTTTATTTTTTAAATTCTGCAAAAAAAATAAATTTATATTTATTAATTGGATAGAGAGTATATCATTATTGAAAATTACATGTAATAAATAATACTTCCTTGATCCACTTTTAATATTTATATATTTTTATTTTACCCGTTAAATTCAAAGGTTTATATTTTCACTTCTAACATTTATATATTTTTTATTTTCGTTCGTCAGTTTTTTTAGTAAATGTGGATACTATCATTAACTACTAAAATTTTTTACACTTTCACTTTATTATACACTTCTATATAAAATTAAAGGAAATTTAATCTTTACACTATCATATCTACCGACTACTATTAAAATACTAATATTTGTTAATCCGTGTGAAAGAAAATGTAAATATCAGAGCCGAATGGATTGGAGTATATTGCGATAACACTATAAAGCAGACAAAAAGCAACTCGACCATCGTCAATCCCAAAATGGCAAAAAGTGGCATAATAAAGGTATATTAAAAATACCTAACTGAAAAGGGAAACTACAACTGAAGCCATGTAATGAAATGAAAACCTTGTCTGATTCAGAATATCATTTTCCTAAAAGTCCCTAAACGTTAAAAATCACTGCAGCAGAATACAAAGAGCGTGTCACCAACAGTCAAATTCATTTTTTTTTTTTTTACAACATAATCTCCAGTAGATGCAGCAACATAACACTTCATATCATATCGAATCAATAGTTACGACTATTCTCACCACAAACTCCTCCCAAAAAAATTTAAAAAATGGCTTACTAGGAGCAGCAGCCGCCTTTCTTGATGTCGGACACATCTTTGCCTACGTCGATTTTCTCGCCCTTGGAAGGGACATTCGATGCATCGCCATTATCGGTTGTCTCCATTGTCTTCTTGCTCACAATGTGGTATATCTGCGCAAGAACCTCGGTGAACGCATTGTCGACATTAGTGGCGTCGAGCGCAGAAGTTTCCATGAAGCAGAGCGACTCCCTCTCAGCAAAGGAGGTCCCGTCTTCAGTTGAGACAGCCACTAGATGTCGAAGGTCGGATTTGTTGCCAATGAGCATGACAACAATGTTGGGGTCGGTGTGATCTCGCAGTTCCTTTAGCCACCTTTCGACATTTTCGAATGTCGAGTGTCTGGTTACATCGTAGACGAGCAAAGCGCCAACAGCACCGCGATAGTACGCGCTGGTGATGGCTCGGTACCTGAAGCCCAGAACGAAAAATTATAGCTTTTAAACGGACAGAGACAGATAAGCTTAATCGGTATATTGGTAATAAGTTCGAAGACAATCATTTCGATTCAAAATTATTCATAACGACACTAACGAATAAAGCCTGGTAATATTTAATACTAGCAAGCTCAATTTGTGCTCCGAAAATACAAAGCATCATTTTAGGAAGCCCTAATATACTATATTATGCACATGTAGAAATGTAATAGAATCTCATATGATCGAATGTTGAAACCATATCTAAATAAAGTAAATTTTGAATAAGAGGACACATAAAATTGAACAAACCACGTGTGTTCTCAAGCAGACAATCCAGTATCTGAACAATAAATACCTTATGTGCTTGTTGCTATAAAGTTAAAGGAGAAATTTCGAAAATTGCAAGCAGCTTGAATTATTAATGCAATTTTGTTTAGTTAAGATCAACAATTGGCCATATGTAAAAGAGTCGAAAATCTGTCTTTTACTAATATAATCCATAAAATAAAATTTTAGAACGATGCTATATCCTGTGTCCACAGAAATCCCAGATGAGGTAACATCCACACAAGATCTTCTCCAAGTTCTAAGAAACACCTAAGGGTTTCTGAAATTCTTACATTAAGGTCAAATAATACTTACATTTTTGCCATCCTTATCAAAAATAACAACGAGAAAGAGATCACAGTTACACATTTCTAGCATTCCTGAATTTTTTAGTCTAGTTGCAAAATCAATAATCACCATCAACTTCAGAGGTAAAGAAGAAAATCAAGATTTATGAGTTATATGTCTACCAAATTAAGATCCAATTACTGAATAACTAAGAAAGCATTAAACAGCCTCCCCAATCAATGACACAATTTAGGTGTAAACTAAATTTCGTTATCAGATCAAAAAAACTACAGATCTATCCCAATTATTCCTCAGCACTCTGCCATACTTTCAGAATTCCAGGCCATGGCAGCTGTAATATTTTCAGTAATTTAAAACAAATACACGAAATTCACATCCCGCACAAAAGCTAGTAGCAGATTTAGCCATTTACGATTAAAGATCTCCAAAATCCAGTAGCAGATCCACCGCACAAAACAAACCACAGTACTCCACAATGAGCGCTAGAAACGAATCGAAGGAAAGTAAAGCACAACAGATCAGAGAAGTTGAAAGCAATGTAACCTCTCCTGGCCAGCAGTGTCCCAAATCTGAGCTTTAATGACCTTTCCATCAACTGTCAAGCTCCTGGTGGCGAACTCAACACCGATAGTCGATTTGGACTCGAGGCTGAACTCGTTCCTGGTGAATCGCGAAAGCAAATTAGACTTCCCCACACCTGAGTCCCCAATCAAAACCACCTTGAAGAGGTAGTCATAGTCATCCTCTGCTCTGTAGCCCGACATCACTAGCAACGATTTCGGGTGCGGGACGCGATCTAGCAAACAAATCCCCCAAATCGAAGCCGTATTTCGAACAGCAACAATGGAGCTACCAGTAAAGCAATCAACACGATTAATCCTCCACCCACTGTAGCTGCAAAAAAGGCCCCCGATTTGCTCCTCTCTTTTGTTCCTGTGTTCTCACTTCACTTTTTGACCCTCAGATAACATAACAGTCGAAGACTGCTCTCAACGAAAGCAAGAAATTTCGTAGTCATCCGTTTTTCACGCCATTTATTGGGCCCATTAATTAAAGCCCAATAAGGCCCAAATATTCAATTAGCCCATTGACTGATATCCATTATTGCTGAGTTTTGTTTGTTTGTGTTTTGTTATTATTGAGTTTTCTGATGCAGCAGCAGCACATGACATGACTGTATCAAATGATGAATTAATCATGGAGGATCTCTGGAATTAATTAATTATATAAATATATATTTATTATTAATTAGGTCATCTGCAGCATCGATCGATCGATCGATCCAAGAAATTAATGTCGGAGATCAAGATGGAGATATCGCCGGCGATGAAGATTCAGGTGGTTTCGAGGTGTGTGTCGGAAAGACTGATGTGGAAATTCTCCGACGTGTCGGAGCAGAGCGAACTGTGGTCTCCTCCAATTGAACGATCAGTGTTTCTAACCTCGCCGGGGGATGTCATTTTCACCGGAGAACAAATGGCGGCAAAGCTCGCCGCAGATTTGGACAGAAGAAGAAGGAGAAGGAAGAGGTCAAGGCTTTCTTTCAATGTAAGTACCAACACCATTTTCATTACATATGTATATCTGCGTATGTTGATTCTGCACATATATATATATATCTGTTGCAGCCGTGCTTGTGCTCTCCAACCAGACCTTGAATTATTCGAATAACATTCAGCAATGGCGCCGGCGGGGAACATACAGTGATACATACATATATATATATATATATATACACATTCCTCGTCTTTACTCTTCAGCTATAGTCTTTCTTTATGTATTGAAATTGCAAGATAGATTGTAAGATTCAGACGAATCAAGAACCCAAATTTAGTAAATAATATGATCTGCTGCTTCAATTTATATGTAAATCAAATTCTGTGGATTCATGTAAAAATAAATTTGAAAGAACTAATTAATAAAAAAATATATACTATATATTATGGGGAAAACGAGCTACTAAATTAATATTTAATTTAATAGAGAAACCAAATCAAACTGTAATGGGCCAAACCCAGGCCCATTATTCTATTGGGTTTTTGTAAAGACCCATCGGTATAAATATCAGTCTATTGGGTTTTGGCCCATGTTTATTTGTGAAGGCCTGTTCTATTGAAGCCTGCTATACTTGGCGGTTACTATTGAGTCAAGAGATCTGAGCCGTTGAAATGAGGTTTTAATCATAGCCGTTGTTTAATCTCCTATGATCTCTGTGGTGGTCATTTCATCTTGAGTTAGGGTTTTGAGTTTACTTAGGGTGATTAGGTTGCATGTAATAATTAATTAATTTTATTTAATCTAATCTAATATTCACTTTCGTTGTACAAGTAAACATGTTTGCTTCAAGATCATTTAAGGTTAGGCTTTGTTTAGATAGAGGATTTCGGAGGGTTTTGAAATTTTGAAAGTTTGGAAAAGTAAAAAATTAGTATTTAATTTGATGTTGTGTGAGAGAAAAAATATATTTGATATGATTTTTTTAAAAAAATTGAATATGCCAAATGACTGAAAGTATGTTGTGTAAACAAAGCCTATATATATACATATGGCCGAGGGCTAATACGTTAAAATAATTTGTGTTGATTTATTTTTTAGGATAGTTTACGATCATATATAGCGTTGGTTGTTCTACTATATAACGACGACTTTTGCAGACGTATATCATTACAAAAGATTATGAATAAATACACATTATAGAGATATGGGTGTATGTGTTGGGGCAAAGCAAGACAAAGTTAGCATGAAAAAGGGGCAATTGATAATAATTATGGAAACAAAGGAACCCTACATGTAGTGTTAATCGGTGGAATATCACCATTCTTTTAATGCCGACAAACTCATGTATATATTTCTAGTTTTCTTTACACTTCTTAATTCCTCTAATATATAATTCAACTAAAAGTATAATTTTATTTTAAATGAAAATAAATAAAACCAAAATATATTGTATAGAGTATGTGTGTGATATATATTTGATATTCTAAACACTCCAAAATTACAGAAAATTAATTATACTGAACAAATTTTGTGTGACATGATTCAAAAATCCTTCACATAATTTGATAGGCCCTTCATTACACTGGGTCTACATGCATGCATTAGTTAACTAATTATTAATTATTTGAATATTTGGGCATATACTTATATACAAGAAAAAGACAAAATCCCCCGTCAAGTATACCCACCCCCATTTATTTATTTAATTATTTGAACACGTAACTCTTATCTCAATACCATCATCTTTATGTAGGTAGTGAATGGCAGAAGCAATAAATAAAAATAAAAAATAAAATAAATATTTTAATTTTATTTTGATGACAATGCATGCATTTAAGGCATACAAATTCGCAGCCCATCCTGTGATGTACATTTGACTCACTCTGGATTAATTTAAGTAATCGTGTCTGTGCATGGCCATGAATAATTAATTATTATTTAAATGTTTTGTATGTATATATTTCACATGCATAAATAGTAAGCATTAATTGATTTCCACCAACCAGCAACAAAATAAGAAAGTTGTATATATTTATATCGACTTTTCGTAGAGAAAGGGCAAACAAACCATCATCGACACTACTATTATTCTTATTACATCTGAAACCCACAGTGGAATTAATTAATTAATTAATGTCACTGTGAAAAATATATACATTATAGAGAGGGTTTCTTTGTTTGAATTTAATGTTTTAATGGGAAAAAAATAAAATAAAATTGGGAATACAGTGTTTCAAATGTTATTGTAATGTTTTTAATAAAAAATTTTGAAAGATATATAAGACTCTTTTCTTTTAACATTTTTTTTTTTTTTGGTTCTATATATCACTGTATAATATTGAAATTTGATGTATGGTATGTGTTTGTTGTATCATCTCTTTATAGTTATACTATACGTACTAAAATACTTTTTCATTAGCTAAATACTATTAAAAAATTATTTTATTTCCAAATAAGTATCATTTTCAAAAAAATATTTTATTTAAAAAAATAAAAAATTAGTAAAACATCCAAAAACACACATCTATGGATATGGTTTTCACATGATATCTTGGAGTAGGAGTGGGCCCAATTACTTTGACTTAACACCCCCAATTCCCAACCACACATATACTTTGATCACATATACATTAATTTATACTCCCTCCCACGCGTATCTATTTTTTTATTTTAGTCCATCTCATAACAAAATATTTATTTTTTTAATAATTGTATTATCTACCTAATATTACAAATACCCTTACAATTTATAATATATTATACAAATATCATTACCTTTATATCACACATACGAGTAAAGTTATTTTAGTTATTTCTACTTTATTTCTACTATATCTCAATATAATACTAATATTTCTAAAATTACGTGCAAAAAGTAAATTGATAGTTAGTTCCGAGACGAAGAGAAAGAGTAATAAATAATCTCATCACTTTAATTAATACTTCTTTCGTAATGTAAATGCGTGTTCATTTTGATCAATTTTTAATAAAAATAAGTAATTATTATTTTTTTTATTTTTTTAATAAAAAAATATAAAAATGTAACAAGGATATTTTTTTATAAAAATCCAAAAAGATAGTGAGCAGAGGGAGTATTATTACCTATTAAAAGATAAATTTAGTAATAGCTGCTATTTTTGAAATAACCATCCAATATTTACCTTAAAATAAGTGGATATTATCTGCAATGTAGTAAAAAAAAAAAAAAAAAACACACCATTTTTGACTTGGCCTAACTGCCTTTGCCACCCTCAGCACCCTGGACCGGAGCTCCAGACGCATACTCCCACCAGTCCACACGTCTTCTGGACCTCCTGCTCCTGGCGCTCAGGCTTTTATAACCATGAATGTCTCTTAACCGTCTGGCCTTTTTTTTTGCATATTTTATTTATTTAAATATCATTCTCACTATATATACAACTCCAAATTCCATTCAATTCTGCTCTTCGTTTCTCCCCACTTAGAAATAGCCTGTCTTCTCTCTCTAGAAGAAATTACAAATAATTATTATTTATTTATTATTTCTGGGGAAAGTATCTTGTAGGGTTGCTGTATTGTATTGATGGCTTTAGAGAAGGTTGCTTTGTTTCTCTTCATCTTCATCTTCATCATTATGCTTTCTGCCTTGCCTTCCTCCATTGAAGGAAGAAAGCTATTCTCCCTAAACGGCGTCGTTCCGCTAGATAATAATAATAATAATAATAATAATAATATTGATATTCGTCACCAATATCTCGTCCCCTTGGTTTATCAACGCAGCTTATTGAATTCAAGGAAGCTTCCCAATGGCAAGGCGCCCCACCGCCGCCGGAAAGGCCGCGCCGCCGTCGAAATGGACTTCATCGCCCGCCACCTCGCCGTGCCTAGTCCCGGCGCCGGCCACTAGTTCTAACTCTCATCTCTTTTCTTTTTTATGTATATATTTCACAATTTTGAATTATTTATCTTTTGATCTTTTGATGTATGTATGTACACGTACATCAGATGTTACAGTACATAATCATATATATATATATATATGCATGTATGTAGAGCAAACATAGGTGAATTTGAATCCATGATAGCCAACCTCACACCATCGCGCCATTCTTTACCAGACAACTTTGATTTACGAATTGAAAGTCTCTTCCTTTAAGTTTTAATTTGAATTTAAAATTTAAAAAATATTAATATTAAATTTGATTTTTTTTTATTTTTTTTTTTGAAGAACAGTGCAAGAGCAAAACTACCACCAAAATCAGATTTTAGAAAATAAAGTTGAATATGTTATTTTGATGTGAAGTAATGTTTAATATTTATGTTATAATTTTAATATAATTAATATCATATGTATTATAAACACTAGAAGTACTTTGAAGGCCACTAAATTATGATTTAGCAAGAAATAAAAGCCATTAATCCCAAGTAATAATTAAATTAATTTATATTATATATATTTGGTAATTAAAATTGCTTATTTTTATCCTACTATATGTTTGTTACGTG